ATACTGATATAAATATGATTATGAAACCTGGGTGTGGTTGTCTATGACATAAGGAAAATCGTTTTGATCTCTACCGCTTAAAACGATTGCTTTTTAAAAATTTCACATGAAATTATGATGCAGCCTATGCTTAATCTTACTTTTAAGAGTTCAAGCAGAGCAAGACAACTATAATTTTTTATAATAAAATGATTAAAGTGATAAGGCTAAGCTTATAGTGATGAAAGCAATTGTTACTTCAATCCATCACTCACTACGGTTGCTTCTACACTCGAATTCGAGGAGAAGCTTAGCAAGCAATCAATGATTAGTTTTCTATGCATTGAATGCAATTCTTTTTTTTTTTATATGCAAGCAATCATAGAAACAAAGCTACAGCGACTAAGAATTCGGTTTCAATCAAGCTCATATTTCTCTTAGGAGATCTCTATAAGAGCATTAAGAATTTCTCTGCATGCGGCGGAGAGAGTGACAACGTTAACATGACCGGCGAAGATAATAATAAAAATGACCAAATAAACATAACTTTTGTACCATTTGTCTAACACGACGGATAGACAAATCATTTGGAGAAGAGAAGTTATTTTACAAGAGGCAGGATGACAGAATGACTTCTCATTACATTTTAGAAAATACTTTCTATACATCATTTCCTCTTTAAATAGATGCCTCGTAATGAATTTAATTTCTGCTTAGAAAATGACAATAAAATAATATATAAGCGATTTATTTGAAAAGTCACTTAAGTCCATTTATTTCAATATACAAACATATTACAATTTTTCAAAACTATTATGTCTTTCTTATTTGATGCTATAAAGTTGAATTCAACTTTTCCACGCAACATCGATATTAGGGGAATCATATGTGCGATAATACTGAAACTTGTACACTTTCACTTCGACAATTTTTTTATATTTCCAAATTGATGGTAGAACACCATAAGGTAAGGACATAAGTCAAACACAAATATAATACATTTTTTTTTTTTAAAGCAATTTGTGCTCAAGTAGAAGATTAGAAATAAATTTTGATCATATTATACATGACAAGTAAAGGCGCTATTTTGACTTAGGGCCAATCATTAAATACCGAAATACAGAAAGAGATTCTTCATCGCTTGCTATAATGAAAGATGAGTACATCTCAAATGCCTCTGTCTGTTGCGTACATTTGTACCACAAGTGTTGTGTTGTGTGTCATGCTGTGATCTAATCACAGGTAAAAGCCACCTTTACTTAAAAGAACAATGATTTTTTGTCTTTTAAGAATATGATCAATAGGCGATAAGTTTCGTCTTGATTGATTTAATTTTTTCCCTCTGAATGGAGAATTTGCCTAAACGCCACAGAAAGGCTTAATTCTGGACAGGCATAGAAATCTGCTATGATTGCAGCAATATTCGATTAAAAAATGATTCATAGTAAGCGAGTTATTCTAAAGATAGGCGACTTCCAGTATAAATGACTGAATGAGAACTGAAAGGTATCCTTAGGAGCGGACTCTGCCAGCGAAATACTATACTATTTTTGTAATGTAAAATTGTATGCCTACAATGACAGATTTCGTAACGTTCGTATATCTTAATTAAAAAAAACAAACAAAAAAAAACAAAAAAAAAAAGTAGGAAAATTTAATTCGGCCATGACCGAATCTTTTATACCCATCACTCTTACCCTAAAGACCATGAATGTTTTAATTCTTCATTTGTTCTTTACAATTTTTTAAAGCAACATATAAGAAAATGTTTTACTGGTTGGGCGAGGATGGGCGCTGAGGAATGTCGACAAATTTATTTGCTCAAGAGCTTTGCAACAACCCGAAAAAAGTCTCAGACATTCCATAACGTAGATATATTCTTGATTAGGATCAAATTCTGAATCGATTTATCCGTTTGCACGTCTGTTTAATGCTTCTTCAACACCCTTCAACCCCTGACCGTAAAAAGGTAGATATCGGCTCTAAATTTGCAAAAAAAAACATTGGAAATGAGCCAAACTAGGCAAAGGTAATGAACACCTCTCTGGCCGTCTCACTTATTACTCATAAACTGCAACGGACACGACAATAAATATTCCAACGTATATTCTAGAAGACGATGAGCATGAAAATTTACCTTTTTTTTTAAATCAAATATAATTTTCTTTCTTCCTATTGATGAAGCATTTGATCATTACGTCGGATAGACGATCAATGCTCATATTAAACTTGCTTAATACTATTGGTAGAGCGAGTTCGAAGCGCAGTCATTTCCTACATTAGTTTTAATTTCCGAAAATCGAGTAAAATCTTTTCTTTTTTTTTTTTTTTTGATTTCGGTACACTTTGAGGGCGATATTGTTAAAATTCGGCGAAAATCTTTGATCGTAAATTGCAATTACCTTGAACAAGTCACAAGTCACACATATATCTTCTTCTTATATCTTCTTCGTACATTGCAGTGCATATGCTAGTAGCTAGGACGTCCAACACCCAGTTATGGATGACTCAGGTTCGATTCCTGTTGCGATGAACAAACTTGTCCCTAAAAATTGTATTTCTATCAGATATGTGTTGCGTATGTGTACTAATAAAGAGCAAATTCTGCATAAGGTATGCAGGAATAGAATTATTCTGTGCAGAATTTTCTCAATTCTCTATGAACTCGCAGTTGTACCGCATGGCGACAATGTGTACACTCGGGTAGAAAGTGTATTAAACAGAAGGAAAGCCTGCAAATTTCTGGAAGCTGTGTAAAAATTTTGATACATGCTTAATCGAATGCTAAAGTATTCTTATCTGGTGTGCTCGCAAAAATGTTAAGTGTTTCTTTCGCACACATACTCTGTAGGTAAATTCTTGATGAATGAAAAATTTTCCCTAGGGGAAGAGGGCATTAAAACATGCATGAGTTGCATCAAGTGGTTCAAGAATTCATATCATTTTTAGTTAGCATTTCAATTAGATTGAACATACGGGGTAAAACTAAGTCTCGAGTTATTGAACTCCGGCGTTTATATGTCTCTTGATCAAAAAATGAGGTGAAGTTGTTTGTAAAATGAGAAATCTTTATTCATTCTTCGAAATCTCTGAATTTTATCGCCTCCCAAAAAGTTCTTGTCAGGCATACGCATCTATGCCAACGTTTTAACTATCCTCAAAACAGCCTGACAGAGTGTTGACCTAAAATGTGTTTTTTTTTTTTTTTTTTTTTTGCTTTGACCAACTCAATCGAGTCGAAACGGTGTCCACGAAGCGGTCTTTTGAGTTTGCTGAACGTGCAACGGCAAGTCAATACGTTGATTGCGAAACGAAATGGATTAAGTTTTTGGCGAAATGGTTTTGCTTGACCCAAATGAATTGTTCCCAAAGTGTCAACTAGGTCCCTAATTGTCAATCGATGGTTTTCGAATATTAAATCTTTAATTGCTTTCACGTGGCTTGCATCGATAGATGTTGGCCTTCAAATCGTTCTCGAACTAAAAATTTTTTTTTTTTTTTTTCATTTGCAAACTAACCTTATTGCCAATTGTCCTTTGAAACAACCTTAGAGCTTCCGCGCAAAATATATTCAATCCGTGAATAAAATTTCATGCATACTCTTTCCTCGAAAATATCAGAAGTAGTAAAAATCGAAGACCCTGATTTTGTTATGTTTACAAAACTATACATAACTCCACAGCAATTGGATATATTGACATGAAACTCGACATCGATGTGAGAAAAAGCAGCTACAAGTTCGTGAAAGAAGAAACAAACACAAAGTCATTGCATCCGCGTAATTGATGTCGCAAAAAATCGTCTTATCTTTTATGGACTATAGTAGAAAATCAAATGGATTGTGTTCCATATCACGACGCTATTAAGCATGAAAAAATGTATGTACCCGTCCGCGAAAGGTATTTTATCTTATTGATAACCTTTTTTTGAAATATAACTTAATCGAAAGGTCTTCAGCGCATATTTCGTTTCAATTGCTTCTATCTCTTTATCTTTATCCGCTTTAGTGAATGTTTTCTTTTTAAAAGGTTCAAAGTGTTATAAAATATTCACAATGATTGTAATTTTAAATGATTTAATGATCATAAAAATGATCTAAAAGGAAAAAAAAAAAAGAAAAAAAGTCGTTGCCATTCATAACGGTAGCTTCACTAATTACGTGTTGAGTTTTTAATTAAAATAATGCAGTAAACTGAACAAACCGCAGGTGAAAGTGAAAAACCACGAAAACCAAATAATAAAATATGCAGAGATTTCATGAAATTGAAATTTTATTTTTGTTTTTTGTTTTTTTGTTTTTTTTTTCATTATAAACCGTTTGAAATTTTAATTAGATATATACGAAGAATTATTGATTGAAATTTAAAAAAAAAATGTTATAAATTGTTTCTCTATAATTTAAATGAGATTAAATAATATTTTTTAAGATAAATGTTTAAGATAATTTTAATTGAAATGATGCTATGGCCATTTAATGCTTCAATAAAATTGGGGTTACCTTTTTGGGGAGATACATTGGGAAGTGTACGATACTATTACATATTACTTTCTTTTGTCATCCGTAATTGGATTACTTAATAAGCTCTAAACTCCACTATAAACTTTTATTCTAAAAAATAATTATCCGTTTGTTGTCTTTGAAATTATGTTAAGGTAATAACTCTGTTATCCTATTCTCTTAAGGTGAATTTTGATGAAAATTGGTGAAAAGTTGGAGAAGTGAATTATATCATTTGGCATAATATCTCCAGATATTAAAATCTAAACAATTCTGCTACTTATTCGTTGCGTTATCGTGGTATTAACTGAAAAATTCTCTTCTCATTCTCTCTCTTCGACTGTTCGATTAGTGCATTATTCCGTTATTCAAATCAAATGAGATTCATTAGACCCAACTAAATCTTACGAATTTAATTAACACTCAGGCACTTTTATGTGAAATTCACGGTCATTTTGAATGAACTTTTTGCACGATTTCTTATTCATGTACTTATATGTGTACTTTTTCAATTTAAATTTAGATGTTCTTGCAGTTCTCATTAATCATAATATTATTCGCTTATTCTTCGGAAGCCATACAAATCAAACCCCAGCCAGTATATGGACCACCATCTCAGCGGGCACCACATCGAGAATATGGTGTACCTCAGCAAATACCTTTTCATGAATACGGCCCGCCAGCTATAAAGTATGGGCCACCCAAGTTGCCGTTTATTGGTGGTGGCGGAGGTGGCGGTACCAACAACTATGGAACATCTTCAAGTTTGTATGATCAAATTAAATCGTATTTCGGCGTACCAAAACCTTTTTATGGACCTCCTCACGTTATACATAAGCCAGCCAATAAATATGGGCCACCAAATCAACCAGCGTTACACTATGGCCCACCCAGACCAGCCCCTACTTATGGGGAAACTAAGCCAGCACCAACCTATGGTCCACCACCGCCACCTCTCAAATTTCAACATAAACCTTCTTCTACTTATGGACCGCCTAAGCCTGTTTATGGTCCACCGCCATCAGCGCCACAGTCGTTACCTTTAGTTCAACCAGCTTTGTCATTTAAAACTCAAAACCAAGCAGCTACTTCATATGGACCACCCCCTTCAGGACCGCTTTTTCAATCACCTCAACAAATTTACGGTTCTCCGCATCATCATGAATTAGTTCCAAATTTTAATCGCTTACCCGAAACTACTGTTATACTAACGGGCACTAATCAGCAACATCAACACCACCAACAACATCCCCAACATCCACCTATTAAACAAATACAAATACATGTTGATAACAATGGTCATGGGCATAATGGCGGTGCTGCTCAGACCCCTTTTCATACAGCATGCGAAGGTTGGAAACCAATTCCTGGTCCAGTGGGAGCCTATATTGAACACAATAATATTGAAACTCAAACTGGATATAGCCAAGTAACTCAGAGTCAGCCTATAACCGCTCTTAAGTTAGCTAATGGTAACAATGGCGGTTCGAGTTTAACCGATGAGCAGCTAATAGCCGTTGCTTTACAAGCGAGCAATTTCGATGGTGGTGATAATTCTATACATCAAAACATATTAACACAATCCATTCCGCTAACAAATTCTGGCCATGATTTTAATCAGCAGCGACATCAACATCAACATCACCTAAACTCCATCGAAACAGACGCATTGCAGGTAAGTAGCAAAAATAACCTCAAGTGATATTATTCAAGCTAATCGAATTTATTTTCAGCTATCATTAGCGGCTATTGAGGGTGACTCGTATTCGAAACCCCCGCCCGATTCATTTGCACCCAACTCTCTGCATGCCTTGAAATTTACGAGCGGAATATACGGACAACCACCTCCACTAAGTCATGGATCAGCAGCGGATTTTGTCCGTCACCATGCGCAAAACGGCTTGGGTATACAATATGGTAAACAATCGGGTAATTTACATACATTTCCTCCGCCGGCCTTACCCCCACCAAACAAACCAGTCGTCTTCCGACCTCCAGTACCACAGGGCTTAATAGAAACCATTGGAGCTACGGTACAGCATGTAGATAAATATGGCGTTAGGCCGCCAGTACAAGTGCCCACTTATATACCTCCAGCCGCAAGTGAAATTGCGCAAGGTTCCGGCAATAATATACATTCCGAATATGGCGTACCTCCACCACCATCATCACAACGTACGGATTTAATTGAGCAACAACTGCCCGAGCACCAAACGCCACAACTATTTGTTCAGGTACCCTATTAAATACTTTACGCTATAATTAGCAGAATTAACGACACGCAATATCGCTCTTAAATACTTGCAGGTAGAACAGCTCCAGCAGCAACAAAATGGTAACATAAATAACGAATATGGGCCGCCACCATCGCCATTATTGACCCCAACGCAGACAGGATCAATCAATTATGTCGCCCCTCAGCAACAATACTTACCACCTCCACAGCAAAATCACTACAGTGATGCTCCGTATGCCTCAAGTAACCGGGCTAACTTTGAGAATGTTTACAGCGCCAGTGAAAATAATGCTCAATCCTTACCACTGCAGCAGGAGGGAAAGTATCAGACGAGCGATTGCCGGCAAGGTCCCAATTTATTAAATGCAAATTTAATTAGCCAAAGCGTACCTGTCGCGGAACGACACTCACAATATGTCACGGGTCCGGCAAATAGTTATGGGCCACCACCTTCTGGTGGAATTGATCATTTAGGTTTTGCTTCAGAAAAATCGGCAATCTCCGCTCTACCTGAACACATAAATACTGACTTATTGCCTGGGCTAGAAGGATTAAATGTTATATCTGCGCAGAAGTCGGAGGGAATTCAATTACCAATCGAACACAATAATCATCCCAGTCAGTTGGCTCACACGTATCAAGTGCAATTCCGAGGCGGGAATAACGAGCAATCATCTAAGCACGAAGAAATTCTATCCGAAGATTTATTGCAGACTATTCTTAGCGCTATTGAAGAGCCACAGCAGCAACATCAACATTTGCCATCTAATCATAAAGCCGAAAGTCGTTCGGATATTGCGAATCAACTCGAACGCAATCATAATTCGCATAACGATCCTGATCCCTCCTCTCGACAAGAATATCAACTAGAAGATCACAGTGACAATCGCGCCGAAGCGAATCAAAATTTTAATGCAATTATAGTAAATGAAGAACAAGAAGAAGCCAAAAATATTGAAACAGAGAATGAAGAGGAACATAATACAGCTTTTCATTCTCGAATGAAATGAATTCTAGTTATGACACATCTCAAAAAAGCAACATATTATTATTATTATTTTATTTTATTTTTTAATTAATTTTTTTTTTTTTTTTTTTTTAAGTAATTCTTTCTATTTATTTACTACCTAAGTTGAAAAATATATATATATATATATATATATATAATTGTATATATATGTATGTATGCATATATATATATATATACATATATAAATATATACGTTCGTTGGTAAGTTTCATATGTAAGCGTACAGAACAATTTTAGAGTACTTCTCTATGAAATTGCCATAAATTTAGGTCAAACAGTCATATGGATTATATAAACTAGAAAAGTTTCGAAATTTAATCCACAATGAATCGATTATAACCAAATAGTTTATAAATTTATTTTAGTAAACATAAATTTCAAAATAAACCCTAAATTATTATTTAATATGTTCAATAATTAAAATTTGAAATTTAATAATTATTTATTTTCCAATAAAGTGTACAATAAAATTAATCAAAAATTATTCATATTGAAGAGCAGTCTGAAGAATTGTCTTCCTACTGCCCGATGTAGAGGAGTTTATCTACAGCTTAAAGGATGAATCGAAATTAGTTAAGGTTGAAAATTGAATTCGGTAAAGCTAATTAAACTGTTGTCGTTTGCTTTGTAACTGTGGTCTTAACTAATGCATGCAACTGCGATACAATTTTTTGCTTATATAAAAACCGAAGAAGAAATGAATTTAAATCTTTGATGTCCTAAGCAAGCGCAAGCAAGTTTTTTTTTTTTATTAATAAGATCATCATGAATTATTAAAAAAAGTAACTAAAAAACAATTAGTAACTCATTTGTCTAACTATACTTCCTTCGAAGATGACTTTTTACATTGTGCAACGAACAACTCTAGAACAATAATTCAGAAGCTAACGGAGATGTTAGCTATGGAAATAATTTCGATGAGGTGAATACCTCATTAAAAAGTAATATATATCGGAATACAGTGATGTTCGGATTGCGACCTTACCGATCTTATCTGGCCACCAGATCTATCTGTTCGCATATCTCAAAAAGATGCTGCAGGGTCAAGTGTTAATAACATCAATGGAAATGCATTTTCAGACTTTTGGGCAGATCGTCATATGAAGCTGTGTTGATAAATAAATTCGAACTTTGCAAACCAAAATATGTTTTATTTTTGTCCTACATAATCCCGGGAATTATTGATCGATGTATTATGAAAATTTCCTTATATTTTGTTCATTCATTAATCTTCTGATCCGGCCGAGTGGCCGAGTAGGCTCAAGATCTCTTCTAACAACAACACCTCATCAGTTGTGGATTTACATCTCAAGGACAATAGAGTTTTCAATAAAGTCGATAACTTCGGATGCTAGCGCTTTAGGACTTTCACTTTTGAATTTACTTCTCTGGCCAAACTAATTATAATATAATTAATAATTAATCTTCTGTCGCTACTACATACTTTTTTTTTTTTTTTTTTTTTGGTTTATTTTCCTTTTTGAATACGCTAAACGTAGTTTGCTCTTGAAATGTCTTAAGATAATGTCCCGCATTTCATTTATTTAATTATTTATTTATTTATTTTTTATAATAACTGAAATTGTAAAATTTGATAGTAAATAAGTATTAAAAAAAGAAATAATAGTGACTTACCCCCATATATTCATTTTGTTCGGATTCGTTTTTAAAGATTTATGTTTATGCGGTTCAAAACGCATTATATTCGCTTGACATCATGTAATTATTATAATAAAAATTAAAGTCTGGTGATGCGTTATGATAGCCTCACATCAGCGCATTTTCCTGTTCAAGCGATAGAGAGTAAAGATAAGTTATTTTAAGTATTCAAGATAATCTCTCATTTTGGGCTCACACTATCCTTTTGAACGACAAATAAGTTTGTTACGAGAGTTGATGATTAGTCATAGATGAATAATATATTAACTGAAAGTATTCGCCGCCCTTGCAACATATCTTGGGATGATCGTGGAAACCAGCCGATGTCGATCGGCTACGAGCCTCTCTAATAATCACTAATAATCAGAGAGAAGCCTAGAATGTATGTGGAGACCAGACTCAAATCAATTAGAGCTAAGAGTGGATTATAGGAGCGAAAAGCATTGTTAGAAATTAGCTTGAGATTGATTGAGTTAAATATTCTGAATAGTAAATTGTAGGCTTTGACAATTCATTTAAATTCAAGTTAATCAAGATATTGACACGAGTCCGTTTTCATAATTCGCCGGGTGTCGTCTTACCTAAATAATAGAATAGATACGAATTAGACGCAGAAGAAGTTTTTTCTTTTCCTCTTTAATCCATTAAAGCCGGTTCTATTATGAATGAAACCTAGAAGCTATTAATTACTTAACCCATCAAAAAGAAATATTTAAAGAATGGAATTCAATTCAACATTTTCAACGAGTAATTATGCGAATATATTTTGGGAACATATTTTTTGAAAGGCTTTACGCCTCTCTCTCTCTCTCTCTCTCTCTCTCTCTCTCTCTCTCTCTCTCTCGTGTGTGTTTTAACCACCGGTTAAATAGTAGCATGTAGTATGCAGCATCCAAGTCATACCTTATTATTCTGTATGGTTTATTTGTTCGTTTTATGAATTCTATCATCGCCGGATTAAAGAATTCTTTCATTCAACAAGTTAGCGAAAGCGATTGTCTGAGAATTGCTTACGACATTGTAATAGGGAAGCAGTTTTCCAGCTATGACACATCATTTTCTTTTCTTGCATATATGCGCTTGGTTGGTAGGTAGCCAAGAAATTTTCCCCAAAATTATAAATAAAATATAATAAATGATTTACTTTCATTAAGAAGAAAGAGAAAGCATTAACCAGAACCGTAACCACTTACCGCTCATATTTATTTGCACAACTGACTTCGAGAACAAACAAATTAAAAATAATTTCATTGCGTTGACACAAAAGAACCACGAAAATTAAATGACATAACACACATAGATATAAACCTTGTTATATGCATGCACGCATTTATACATCTTTTACGCTATAAGCAGACATTAAATTATGGTAACCAAAACTACTAACCCTTTACGGTAACGCCTAACAAGGATGATTCTCTTTTCGGTTTTGCATTCATCTCCGAACAGTCTGGGCATAGGCATAGCGACTTTCTTCTTCCATTTGTAACGTGCATAAAGAGCAAAGGTAAAGTCCCTAAAGACCGCATATAACTGAATGGATTAAGCTAAGTTCATCGATTCATCAATCTGTTGGTCATCTGGACGTTAGTGCCTTTATGATATTAGACAAACGCAACTTCTTATATAAAAAAAAGTAAGAACACTATAGTCGAGCAAAGCCGAACATTAAACACCTTACCCCAATTCGCATAGTACGGCTATTCACTCACATCAAAAATTGTACATTATTTGCATGCAACGGCATACTCTTTCGTGAAAGCCCGTCGGTTGGAGGATTTCCAAAACATCACACGTTGTGATCCAAATTTAGGAACCGTAATTTACTTTGCAACAATTTTCGTTATAAAATTTTAGAAAATAGTCTTTCTCTCCGCACAAGGTTTCACGCTTCATGATAAACTTTATATATATGTTATGGGTATTAATGATAGGTCTATGTAATCCAAATTTGTTACCGTTAATTTTTGTGCTTAATTGCTGCCATGAACCAGATTTTATCTTAAACTATTAAAAATGAAATATTTTTTCGAAGGGTTTACTATATATGAGATATGTTATATGGAGTGGGATCCACGATATAGACGCATTCTTGTTCAAATTTCGTTCACTTAATTTTTTATATGAAAATGTCAGCTATTATACCACTACTATTACATCATGAAATATTAAAAATTATACCTTTTCACCCTATAGAAATTCAGTTTTCATATCGGCTTAAAATGTAGGGAATGAAGTGCTATTACGCAGTGAGTTTTGTTGCAAAATTCTAAAAATTGCGATTTTATTTCCTTATAATGACTATCCAAAATAAATCGTTACGCGGGCAGCGAGCGGAATAGTTAACCGACCAGGGATTCGGTAACTTTAGAACAGTTCAGAGCCTGTGGCCTGGCATCGGCAGTTGCAGCAAAACCTGACCAAGACTTGCTTTTCATATCCAAGCTTATTAACCTATATATTTACAGCGACTCCACCTTATCCACGACTAGCGCACAATGCTGTTTTTTTTTTTTTTTTTTTTTTTTTTGTTTTTGTTTTTGTGGCTAGAGAGAACAATCCCTCTCCGGCTCAGAAGACAGTCGAACGCAGAAGTCTTGGACGCCAGCAAATTGTCTCACCATTGTCTCTTCCATTCCGAAAGGAGGAAGAATTACGAAAAAGTGATATTGGTTTACATTTATGCTTTCCCACTGTTAAACTCTGTGATGGTCCGTTGCCTTTATAGATATTGGCTATCTGCACTGCCATATTGTTGCTAAGCTTTTGTTCTGTCATAATTCAAAACAATAGCATGGATAATCGCTTAGCATAGAACATAGAACAATTGGTTATGTATGTGTTAACACATTGCTAGCAATAGCTTAGTAAAGAGAATAATTTGCCTGGACTTTTGCAAGCTATTATAGATTAAAGAGTAAGTTATAGTAGTTGAACGAAACAATAACTTGGACTGAGAAACGTATAAAATAGCAGACCAAAGTAAATATATAACAATAGCTTGTATTGTATGTTATATAACGATTATAGACGAAAGGTAATGTAAAATTAAACAATACTATAATAATTTTCTAAGGGAATAAGTTAACGGTTGCTTCTTTGCATACACACATGTACATATATGCGTGATACAAGATTAGTTAGGCAAGAGCAGCCGTTCCATTGCAATTTGCTATTTATTAAAACAATTATTATCATTTTATCTATATTTGAGAGAAATTGAAAAGATTCCTAATAAGATTTTATGTAAAGCATTTACTCACAACTCACAAGTAGTTATGCCCGTATGCATGAAATTTTGTAGCGGTTTCTGATTTCTTCAAGAATATATGCAAACAAAACACTTGTGAAGTGA